AGAGGGCAGGGGACTGAGCCGATAGACAATGGGGAAAGGGGGTGCAGAGAAGAGCTGGCCGAGAACATGCCAAGGTCCGCACAGGTCCCGCAGCAGTGCCCACAGGCGCCCTTGGCTCCAGCCCTGGCCATCCTGGCTCCACCAGGAGATCAATAATGCATGAGGCTGTGTGTGTGTGAGACGGGGGAGGGGACTGGAGGGGCAAGGTTGGCCCGAGGCTGGGACACCAGCTCAGATCTTCTGTTGGAGCCTGTAAGCACCTGAGGAGTTGAGGCCAGAGGGAACAGGGACACCGTGGGGCGGGGGCGGCCGGGAGGTCGGGGCAGAGGGCCTATGCTGCCAGAGGCTGAACCAGGGGGAAAGCTCCTGCATTCGGCCATTGAAAGTTCCCAAATTCTCCCAGTGTTTGCTATCCCTGTGCTCTTTTCCTGGCCCGTGGGATCCTGGTCCCTCACTGCCAGCAGCTGGAGGGGGAGGCTCTGTCACTAGAGGGTGTGGGGTCGAGGTGAGTCAGGCTGAGTGCCCTGTCTCCACCTCCATTCCTGTCCCCTTCTCCGGAGGAACAGACCCGCCAGCTTCAGGTGGGAGGAAGCCCTCTTGGTAAATGTCAGCGGATGCCAGCGTGGCCCCCTTACCCCAGGGTCCATGGACGCCAGTGCTCCTTGGCCCGCACACAGCTCTGCCTCTGAGTCACCGTCTCCGAGTTGCCCGCTCCCTCCTCATGGAGCTAAGTGGCAGCAGCTGCGGCAGGAACCAGGAAGGAAGGAGGCAGCGGAGCCTCCCCTCTAGCCGGATCTCCCCACCTTCCCCTCCCCCGCTCTTCCTCCCGCCAAGCTCTGGGCAGCTGCTCAGCTCTGCCCCCCTGCTCCCCGGAGGACTCAGGGCTGAGCGACTCCCCAGAGCTGACCGTGGCCTGGGAGTAGGGGCACAGTTCCAAAGGAACCAAGGACTGGGGAGCTGCTGGCCTAAAGCCAGTGGTGGTAAAGGGTTTTACTCAGACGAGTGCGGCCTTGACCCGTTAGTACCCAAGTTCATTTTCTTATTAACTCCTGCCTCTCATTTTACATCTGAAAATAGACTGCAAAATTTGGAGCCAGCAAAGGTTATCAGGTTGATGGGAAGGGGTGGATGCCCCTTTTAGACAGTGCCTAGAGCAGTCAGCAAGGGCAGTCAAGGCCTAAAAGGCCAGTAGGTGGCCCCCATAGAGGCTGTCACCGGTCCCATGGGGTGGAGGACTGAAAGCACCTATGCAGCCAGACAAACCCCGCCCCAGCCTGCTGAGTCTCTGCATTGGGAACAGGTCTGGGGCAGGAACCAGCTGGCTGTTAAGGACTAGCTGGAGCCAACTTGGGTACCCTCGCTTTCTGAGCACCTCTGCCCTTTTGCTGGAGTACTATGTTCAGCTGCTCAATTCTAATTAAAAATCAGCTCTTGAGAAAGGTTTAAAATTCATTGAAACGAATGTGAAACAGACTGACAGCTTTAAGTGCAGTGAAGCCTTTTTCTGGAAAGTGGATTTTTAATAGCCAGTAAAAGATGCAATGTGGGGTTCTTCTTTGATCCAGAAATACTTTAGGCCACTTCCCCATCCATCTCGTGCCCACATGGCCTTAGCTGACTCTTCATGGTCTTATACATCTCTCAGGAGATGCCTGGGCTCTGCGTCATTCAGAACCTCAGCACAGCTCCAGCCACCCAAGGAGGGTGCTGTTGCACCTGGTGGTTCTGGGAGTCACCAACAGCACGGGGCATTGCTGGCCAAACGGCTCTGGCATCTAGGAGCCTCAAGGGCCTTTTAATTCATTTCGCATTGATTATCTCTGGGTGTCCGGCACAGAGCTGGGCACTGTGGGCAGCTGGTCCTAGACCAGGCCACAGAAAAGCTACTGCAGATCACCACTGCCAGAGTGGTTCCTGTCTAGGACTTGGGAGACCGTGGCATTGTTCCAAGTCCAGGAGGAATGCTCAACAGCCACTCTCCCCACAGCACCCTTGCGTCCACCCAGAGCATGCTCGTTAAACATCCTGTAGTTAAATATCCTCTCCCCTTCATTAGGAACTTTTGCTCCCCAAGCCTTAAATGCCTTCTACTTAAGAGCCCCCAAAACCTCTCATTGGCACAGAATCCTGGCTTTCCCCCAGCTCCTTTGCTCAGAACCACCTAAGACATGTTAGCTACTGGGCAAAGCTGGAAGCTTCCTTCCAAAAGATACACATGTAAGAAATGTCATTTGTGGGAGTAGGGACAGGGAGGTAACAGGCTTGGAAATGGGAAGAGGGAGGATTTTCTAGAAAGAGAAGTGAGAGTCAGAGGTGTCCCTGAGGATAAGTCTATAGGGAAGATAAGCTTGTATACAGCAAGACAGACTAAGTAAAATGCATTTCTTTTCATCATAAAGCAGTGTTTCCAACCTTTCCACAACATGTCACACCCCAAGGGTGAATTAACATCCAAGCCCACCTGGGACCTTAATGAGGAAGCTCTAGTGTAGAAATCCAGAGCATGGTCTTCAGAGCAGAGAGAGCTGCTTCAAGTCCCTGTTCTGCCACTTACCAACTGCATGACCTTGGGCAGGCTCTTTAACTTCTCTGCCCAAGAAATAAAAGAATACCTAGGAAGTGGTTAGCATACAGTCTGGCACAGCAGGCTCTCAAGAGAAGCCATTCTTAGCATGATTACTTAGTTGAGCTTTCTGACAACGAGGGCATAGGCTGGGGAGACATGTGCGAGGGACAGTGAACACGAGGCAGAGGATAATATCCTCATCTGTTCAGCTTCTCTGCTTCGAACCTGGAGAGCTGAGACTTTGCTCTTGTCAGGTCCCAAGTTAGAAAAACAAAGGGCAAAGACAGTGGTTAAAAGCCTCCATTCTGAAATGAAATCTTTCTTCATTGGAGGTCATTCTCAGTAGAAGCCAGGGAACACATGCTACTCCCACCCAAGTTCTTCCACATCTCCAGAAGGACAGCACAGCCACTGGGGTAGGGTGTATTTTGGGCAGGCTGGGTACAACAGGCTGGCTATGAGTCCGTAACAGGCTCAGGAGGATCAGGCTGCCCACTGGCTGGCACAACTGAGTCCCCCTCATGTTGCTGTCTGACATGCTGATCCAACAGGGCGGTCAGATGGAGGGGCTGGTGCTGAAGCAGGGAGTGGGTCTGGGCCATGAGGAGGGTGAGCCCTCCTACCAGCTCCCCCTGCATCAGGGCCAGGCTGGGAAGTTTGGAGTAGTTGATGAAGCCTTGCCTGCTGAGGATGGTGTCATCAATGCAGCCACCTGGAAAAGCACAGGGTCAGGTGAACTCCCCACAAATGCCTTTCTTCTCTGAAAACAACATTCCAACCCTAGGAATTGCTCTCCATTACCCTTCTCCACCTCCCAGCCTTCCTCTATCTGGTTCCCACTTGTGCCCCACCCACTCCCACCATGTTTGGGACTGATCCCCTCCCCCCCTTCCTAAATCTCTAAAACATCCTTACATAAATCATTCACCTGGCCGGACCCCCACTAAAGCACTGTTTCCTAAACTTTCTTGAAGAACCATGGAGTATGTGTTTGTGTGTGTGTGTGTGTGGGGGGGGGGTTATAAATACAGACTCCTGCCCCTTCCCACAGAGACATATGAAATCAGTTTTCTATATAGAAATAGTACCTCCAGGAATTCTTAGCATCAGGGGAGTCTTAGAAGCATTGCTCCCTGTTCCTCAGCACCCTTTACTTGGGCTATTTGTTTTAAGTATCTTTGTCTATGTGGGTTTTAGTACCTACTACCTACTCCACTGCTAGATTCAAGGTGTCTGAACTTCCTCCCCCAGTGGAGTTCTCTGCCTTCCCTAATCTTCCCTCCAATGCAGAAGTGATGTAGGGCAGTGAGCCAACACAGGTGTTAGAAGACAGGCAGCCCTCAACAAAAGGTGCTGTTGACTCTGGCCCCATCTGTGAGAGGATGTCCTCTCCAAGGATGTCCACGGTTTCACCCACTCATGCCTAGCAGATGGCACTAGGCTGCAGTAGCACCCGATCCCCTTCACCCCACCCCCAAGAGGCAGGGGAGCTTGCTCACCTAACAGCGGCAGGAAAGGCACACCCTTCAAGATTCGCACCATCTCCTTGACTTTGGGCTCTTCACTGACTAGGAGCAGGTTGTGGCCCACAAAAAGGGGCAGCAGATTTTGGTACTTGGAATCCTCCAGGAAGGGCTTCAGGACCTGGCACAGCAGGAAAGAAGGGTTTATTGGCAAGCAGGAGGAAGAACTGCCCACCTTGGTCACAGGCCACATTAGGCTAAGGGTGCAACCAGAGGGTTTCCTCAGCCCCTAATCGCAGTTTGGGCACCAGACGAGAGGGCTGCTAGTGGAGAGGAGGAGTCGTAAGTGCCCTATCTGAGGAGAGATGCTGGGGTCTGCGTTGGCAGGAGAGGGGGAACATGGGCAGAGCCGATGTATAGGGCGGCTCCCTACCTGGTTAGGGAAGACCTTCATCAAGATATTGTGTTTCCGCAGCCGGTGTCGCATAAGAAGCTTGTCCTCAGCACTCATAGCCACATTCTGGCAGACAGCTATCATTCGGTTGTCTCGGAAAACTGCTGCTATCTCCCGACGGAGGAGGCGGGTGAGGCCTGTCTCCTGAAGTCAGGAAAGGATGACCAAGGGGACATAAGCTGCTTCTTCTCCTTCCCCCTCTATTACCACAGGGATGAGTGCTGGGCCTCCAATGATGCCCAAATGTGCGGGAAGATCAGGGTACAGGGAGGTTAGTTGGGCCCTGACTCCCAGAGACATGTTGCATCTCCCATTCTATCCAATCATTGTCATTAGATAATTGCAGTCATTAAGGTAGTGTTTTTGAAACCTGAGAACACTGAGTCCCCCCGAACTGGTCAGCTGTCTGACCCAGTCAATATTATTTGACCTAGAAGTCATGGTGCTATTTGCAGAATTCCATGAACATATTAATACATGCAAGGTAAAATAATGGAAGATTCACTACTGTGCCAGATTCTAGTCTAGATTCTAGATCTGCCCTGTCCAATACAGTAGCCACTAGTTGCATGTGTCTATTTCTATTTAAATTAATTAAAATTAAATACAATTAAAAATTCAGATCCTCAGTCACACTAGCCTCATTTCAAGTGCTCGATAGTCATACATGGTTAGTAGTTACCATATTGGACAGTCAGATATAGAACACTGCCATCACCCCAGAAAGTTCTGGAGCATGGTGCTGTTCTAGATTCTTCTATAGTTATGAGGTAGCAAGCACCATTGGCTTAAGAAAAAATTATGAGGGAAAAACTTAAGTTGGAAAAGTCTATTCCATGATTTTATTGTTGTCTGAATTGGGGGCTATCAATCAATTTTTCTACCAATCAATTTTGGGTGGGAAAAAGCTAAATCCCGCTGAAAGAGTTCCAGACAAGGAAACATGATTTGCCAAGCAGTCTACAGGCTGACCCTTCACGGCTCATTTCAGATAGCTCTTTGCTTTCACAGGGAGAAAACCCAGATGGGTGGGTTCTATCCGGCCATTAGTCCTTAAGGGATCTCTGCCAAATGACTCATATCGCCTTTTGCATCGGTTGAACATCTGGCCTTAAATCCTACACCCTACAATTGCTGCTCACCTCCCCACATCCCAGACTCTAGCAGAAGAAAGCTAACTAGTCCTTAAGCAGCACTAGCCAACTAGAAACTAGAAGTTATTAGATACTACAATAACAGGAACCACGAGGGAGTCACAAATTTTCCACTGGTCTTTCTGTTCTTTTTAAAAACAGAAAACCGCTATCATTCTTCTAGGAAAATGTGGAAGCTTCAAGTCCTTCAAGTCAGGACAGATATATTCTCCCCAACTTCCCTCCCCAGCTCCCCCCCCCACACACACACACACTTGGATAGCTTCCACACACATATTTTTGGAGACAAGTTAGAAATGAAGGAAATTCAGGAGACCCATCCAATCCACAGAGCCCAAAAGGCCAATGCCAAATCAAGCGCAGATTTCATTTTGAAGTATCTGGGCCATGGGGTCAAAGTGAGGAAGTAATGATGTGGATGACCATGTGCTAGAATCCTTCTTCACTAGGGCCATGGATATAAGATCATTTTAATCACCATACCACCACCAAGTAACATGCCCAGTCTTCTCCTTACCTCCTGGGAAGGCTTGGAAGGAGGTGTCAGGCATCTAGGATTGACAGCAGGTTTGGGGGGAATATACTCAGTCACAGCCATTAGTTTCTGCCGTTCAAAGTGCATCACACGGCGGTGGCGGGTAACAGCCTTGGAACCATGGCGGACAGTCTGGAGGGTGGGCAGCCGGCCTGGGAGAGGAAATAGCAATGTAGTGAGATGCAGCCTCTTGGAGGCCTTAGTCTGCCCCAGATGGAGAAAAAGCCCACCCTCTGGGCACAGACAACCATGGCTCACAAAGCTAGACTCAGTGCAAGAGTGGGATGAAGAATCTCCTGCTAGAAATCCTGAATCCTCAAACCTTTTCTAATAGCTAATCTTAGTTCAGTTGCTTGACCCTTTGAGGCTCCCATTTCTCCAGCGCTTCTTTATGCAGAGGGATGGGGGGGAAAGATGAGAATCACAGAGAAAGTATTTTGAACACATTAAAAAGAGGGAGAATAAACTTTTTCTTAAATGGCCAAATAGTAAATATTTTAAGTTTAAGAGCCAAACAGTCTCTGTCACTACTACTCAATTCTGTCAACGTACCATGAAAGCAATCATAGATAATATGTAAACAAATAGATGTGGCTAAGTTTCAATAAAATTTTATTTATAAAACAGGTGACCAGCCCTGCCATAATTTGCCAATCCCTGGTCTAAACAAGTGGTGCTTAAAGTGTGCCCCCATCCCCAAACCAGTATCAGCAGCACCATGGAACTTCTTAGAAATACCAGTTCTCAGGCCCATCCTAGTCCTACTGAGTCAAAAGGTCTGGAATGGAGCCCAGCAATGTTTGAATAAGCCCTCCAGGTGATGCTGATGCCTGCTGAAGTTTGAAAAACACTGCTCTAAGCACTGCTCTGAAGCTTTCTCCCATGATTTGAAGAAATGGGAGGAGCTCCCCCAAACAAGTCTCCCTTCCCTCTTCTCTTCTTTGCAAGCATTGCTGCAGAACAACCCTCAGAAGACAAGGGAGCCACTTGAAAGTACTGAGCCAAAGTGACCCCTTCATTCTTGACAAAAGAATGCAAGCTAGAGCTTCCCACTTTCAGCCCTTCCCAAGACCGGGATGAGATCTCAGGGAAAGGTTCAGCCAGAAGGTGGCTCTAACAGTCAGAGAGTATGGAGAGTTCTTGGGGTGAGAGGTTTTATGGCCAGGGGCCATAAAACCTAGATGGAACCAAATTTTAATCTTTCTTCTCCCGGTTACCAGCTGTGACCTTGACCAGTCACTTGACAGGTCTAAATTTGAGTTTCTTCATCTGTAAAGAGGGGATGAGAACGCCTTTTCATAGGGTGCTCTCAGATTTAAATGAGATAATACCTGTAAAGCATTCATTACTGTACCTGGCGTGTATTGTGTGCACTAAATCATTCATTAAACAAATACCTACTGGATGCCTAATAATGTCAAGCATTATGGCACCTGTTGTTTATGCTGAATGAACATGGTTCTGCCTTTATGGAGTTTAAAGTCTAAGAGAGAGACAAATAAATAAATGCAAAATTACAGATTGTGATGGGCTAAAGGGTCGATAAACACAGTGCAAGTTACAGATTTAACAGGGGAACCCTGCTTTGCAGAGGGTGGCAAGGGCAGGTCTAAGGAAGTGACAATTAGGCTGAGACTCTAAGGAGACAGTGCCAAGGTCGGGGCGGGGAGTGGTCTAAGCAAAGTAAACTGGAGGCGAGCAAAACCTAGGCGATGATTTACAGAAACCCATAGAATGCAGGGGGCCTGGGGCATAGCCAATAAATACTGTTTATGGTCGGCGCTGTTGCTGTTTGCGGTTATTAATAGATTCTGGGGTCATCGGGAGCTATCTGAATCAGAGATTGCGGGAGGGAACCTATAGCAGAGGAGGGGAGACGAGGATTAGAGAGCACCGGCCGTAACACTCCGTGAGGACCTGGGCCTCTCCTTACCCGCCTGGGGCAGGAGGCCGCCTCGCAGAATCCCAGCCACGGCCGCAGCCATTGCCCTCGAAAGCACCGACGGGAGCCTCGCGAAACGGAAAGAGCTAAGGATTGTGGGAGACCTGGGGCCGGAAGCAGACGGAGGATCCGCCAACTGGAGCAGTACTCCGCATGCGCCGCGAGCCCGCCCTCTCCAGCGCCCCACCTGGCGTCGGTCTCCTAGCAACGATGCCAAACCGCTGAACCGCTCTTCTGCGTCCGCGTGCATTAACCAACCTCCCCGAGTTTTCTGCCAGCGAAGCGCCTCTACAATCCCCAAACTCCTGATCCCCCGCTTCGATTTGCTTATGTCTTCTACCCCACTTCAATATTTGCTCTGAATCAACCCCTTTCCTCTGTCCCCCAAGACTCTGAGCTTCTCTCTCCTTNGGCTCTGAATCAACCCCTTTCCTCTCTCCCCCAAGACTCTGAGCTTCTCTCTCCTTATACCATCCAGGGTCCCGCCATCCCCAGGGGCTCTCCAAAGAGCTCTGCTCTTCCTTCCAGTCTCGCCCCAGGACAGCGGCCTTTAGGTCATGCCTGGAGGTGAGTAGGAAGATGGGACGGTGGGTAGAACAGGTGGAGAACAGTAGGGTCAGGCCTCCAAGAATAAAGACCTGTAATAACCGAACCTATCTTTTTTCACAGCTCAGCTTGCCCAGAGTCCAGAGGAAGGGGACGTGTGCATTACTGAAGCCCTTATTACTAAGCGGAACTTGACCTTCCCTGAGGATGAGGATCTGTCAGAGAAGATGTGAGTGCAGGGAGAGATAAGAGTGCTGGGGTATTGGATCACCCGGGATGAGCAGTCCCCGGAGCAGTCCCCTGAGCAGTCCCCTGAGCAGTCCCCTGAGCTGTACTGATTTGTCACCTAATCTTTGCCCCTCTTTTACTCCACATATTCAATCCGCAGTAATGCCTAATTGATTTTCCCTCCTTAAAAATCATTCCACTACTTTTCCACTATGCCCACTCAACTGCCTTTGATAAAGCTGTCACCACCTCTCAACAAGCTCCTAGTTAGTCTCCATGACCCCAATCCAGGCTCCCCCTACTGTTGCCAAAGTGATCCCTTTAAATGACAAATCTGACCAGTCACTCCCTGATATAACCTTCCAAAATAAAATCTACACACCTTAGCATGAGTTGACCTCTGCTGCCCATTCAGCCTTATTTCTTGCCACTCTCCACAAGTGTGCAATTCCTCTAAGACCCCGGGTTCTCACACCTTAGTGCCTTACTACTTAGAGTGGTTGGTGCTGGGAAGGAGAGCGGGGGCAGCCGAGTCAACACCACCTGGGAGCTTGCTAGAAATGAAGACTCTCAGCCCCACCTCAGGCCCACTGAATGAGAAACTACATTTTAACAAGACCCCCACGGGATTTATGGGCACATTACAGTTTGAGAAAGGCTGAATAAGCACATACTATTCCTTCTGTTTGAAATGCTTTCTCCTCAGCCCCTTCTCACCTTCCTGGCTAACTCCTGCTCATAGGTTACTTAGCCATCCACTCCCCCTCAAAACCTTTCCTTCCCCCTTCCCTCTTCCCTGCTAAGAGCCCACCCTACGGACTGTTCTCCCAGGTTTCACACTATTGCTGAACTACAGACTGTCCGCTTGGACCGGGAGGGGATCACCACTATTATGAATCTGGAAGGCCTCCAGAATCTTCACAGCCTCTATCTGCAAGCGGTAACTTCTTGCCCCTTCTACTTCCGCCCCACTTGCTCCCTTTGGACCAAGTCTGTTTAATCTGAAAGGAGCCAAGCAGGTCATCTTGCCTACTCCTTGGCGTTCAGGCAGACAGACCTTCGCTGAAACCATTCTCAGATGAACCAGAACTGAAAGACCAATTCTTCCAAAAGAGATCTTGAGCATGTTCTTGAATCACTGTTTTTTGTCAGACACTTCTCTTGGTCTAGTTCTTCTTGGTGTCTACCCTAAATTTCTCATGTTATATAGCTCAAGCTCTTTTCCTGTTCTGAAGAAGAGGAAGAGGGAACCAAGAAGATTCCTTTGTGTCCTTCAGAAACTTGAAGGCTGTCAGTGGGGGTGGGGGGGGGGTTGGTGGTTGGTTGGTTGACCTTCAGCCTCCCCCAGATTGAATATACCCAGCTCCCTGAACCTTTCTTTCCCCGTAGAAAGTTTACAAATCAAAATAATATATGTTCATTGTTCCCTTTGAGTATGCAAGCCCCCACCAAGGTCTTTTCCAGTTCCCTGTGGCTCCTTGGTTTCCTTCTCTGATTTCTGGGTGACTCTTTGGCTGTGGGGTGAGCAGGGTATACATTAATCAATTTTAGCCAGCCCCAAATTTACACCCTGGAGAAAGCAAATCATCCCAAGGTTGTGACAAACAGTTCAGTGGCTGGGTCATCATTCCCAAGTGCCAGATCTCCAGTTGCAATAGTAGATATGGTCTTGGGATGTTGTCCCTTTAAAGGGTCCCCCACCCAACTGACCTCAGGTTGGTTTCCCACTTTGGTTTCTTCCTGCAGAATAAGATACAGCGAATTGAGAACCTGGCCTGCATCCCCTCCTTGCGGTAAGTGGTGCCAGGGCTCAGGCAGGGGGTGGGGTGGGGAGTGTA